CAGTTAGAATTTGCAAATTGGTTTGTAAATAAACTATTCTTTTATCTTTTTAGCCAGATATAATGATTTCTGTCTTCTTTTTTCATTGTTTGTTTAGGAAAGAGTTTGATTCAGAGAGAGAAAAATTGACAGAGAACACTGAGAAATCCCACAACTCTATAGTTTCAAGCCACAAGAACGGAGTTGGTAAAGCTAGGTTAGTCTTTTTTAGATTTCTCCAATCTTCTAGTTGTACTAGTGCCTCTATCCAACTGATTCATGCCAGATGCATCTTTGTATAATGATGACAGTTATCCAAAAGGTCTCGTTGTTTTGATTTCTTTGAAGAAAGGATCAATTGGAAAACAGGTGAAAAAGAATATTGCTGATACAATCAACAAGAATGCTGAACAACATGATGCTACTGGAGAAACTAAGAAGAAGAAAAAGAAAAAGAAGAAAGGGAACAAAGAAAAGGAAACTTGTGAAAATTCCAAAGGAACTACAATCGAAGATAATAAGCATAGAAATTCAGCAGATGTCATTTGCCATCCTGCCGAAAAATCTTCTGAAGATGTTTGTGGAGAGAATTTGGCTGGGAAAGAGACAGCCACAGACCTGGTCCTCAGAGATGATAATATTGTCACAAGTGAGGATTTGAAGTGTCTGTTTGAAAGATTTGGCACTGTTAAGGTACCATGGAAATTCCTTTTTTTGTGGTTCTCTACTTCTCATAAGTATCAGTGTTTTGTTAGCTTTATCTGACTTGACTTTATGTAGTCCATTATGTTTCAGAAGATCTGGAACTTAGTACTTATTTAAAGATGTCTGTCTATCTATCTATCTGTCTGTCTGTCTGTCTGTCTGTCTGTCTCTCCCTTTCTTTCCAAAATAGTCTTCAAGAGATTCATGCTCATAAATACCAGTATTTGGTTTACTTATTTGCTGTTTGTTTTGAAGCATGTTGACTATACTATAGGAGCAGATTCTGGGTATCTATGTTTTGAGGAACCAGAAGCAGCTATAAAAGCTCGTGCAGCTGCAGCATTTGTTGAACAAGGTGGTCTGATTGTAAAGAAATCCATAGTTTTCATAGAAGCCATGACTGTTAAGCAGCAAGATTCCCATCACCATTGAGTTTATTCTTCTTTCTGTTTTCTGGTACTTTCTTTTGTGTTAATTCTCAACCTTTGGTAAATATGGGCCTAATATGAGCTGACACTCTTCCAATATTAGTTTTTTCTTCCTACAAAAGCCCTACAAAAGCGCAACTCTACCTGATTCCTGATTAGGGGTGTCTTGTTTTCTGTTAATAAATATATAGCTAAATATTGAATAGACTGGATCAGTGCTGCTGTCTGTGTTGGATTGGAAGATACCAAATTAGCAGTCTTTTGTAAGTTTTGGTTTAGATGCTTCTCCCAAGCTTGGCGTGTTCTGATAAATGAACGTCTGAACTTCAGTTCCTTTCTCCTTTTTCTGTCAGGTGAGGCTGAAAGGCAGTATTGGAAATTATTTCATGGCAATGAGGGTGGCTTTAAGGAAACAAAAAGTCGTAGAGAGTGGTAAGAGTTTGCAATCTCAGCATGATTATCATTTCTTTGATATCGAAATGTATAATTTCATTTCAGAAATGATTTCTTTCAATACGGGCTGCACAAAAAAAATGCAGTTCAAGTACTAAAATAACCAAAACACCCTTAATGAAATTCCCCTGTATGTTTATTCATTATTGGTGTTTTGGTACCCAAACTGCACTTTTTTTGTGCAGTTCATGCTAAAAGACACTACTCTCATTTCATTTTCCTCCCAAACTTACCAATGAAGTTGCTTATGCCTTGCAGGAAAGGCAAATTCGGCGGTGGAAGCCGTTGTAAAAGCAAACGCTCTCACCCTAAAGAAAATGATTCTTCAGTCCAGCAACCAGTGAAAGTTCAGAAGACCAAAGCTGTTTAAGAATTTGTGGAAACTAGAATGTTGGAGAGAAATACTACTAAAAGGACTGAAACTTTGGTACTTCTACTAATTAAGGACTGAAACTTTGGTACTTTTGCTAATTGAGGATTCAAGCTTTTTTTTAGTTCTTTTTTTTTTTTGGGGAGGTGGAATGCTTGCTAAACTTTGCTGATTTACCGATTAAGGATGTTATCAATTCATCAATTCAAAATGTCAAAGATGACCTAGCAAGTTAATCAACTTTAGAGAAATACCATAAACTATTGATGGTTGCTATTCTTTGCCCTAAATATTAACAAGTACAAAAATTTAACCTTCACTTAAAAATTAAAATTGCGGAATTTTTTTTCCCAAATGACATGCAATTCATTAAATTGTTAAACTTACGCACTGGAACGCTCCTGTGACGCAGTATCATGGACACACATGGTATTGATTTCCTCATGTTAACTTCTCAAGTTGTTATTTGTATGCAGTGGATTTTTATTTTAATTTTTTTCACATATGAGATTAGCTTTTTGCCATTACTTTTAGATACTACAAAAGCCCCGTCCTCCAAAAAAAAAAAAAAAAAAAAAATTCTAAAAATAGGTTTCTCATCAGCCATCAGTTTCAAACATGGTAGGCTTCCAATATCAAGGGGTTTTTTCCTTCATTAATGGTTAAGTAAAATGTAGTCTGTCTTGTTTGAATATAAATATATATATATATAAAAGAAGAACTCTAACATAAAGATTGAATATAATTAAACTTGTCATAGAAGGACACATCAAAGCCTTATCTATCTGCCGAAGCTGTTTTTTGGTTTGTACATTTCTTCTTCTTTTTTTCTTTTCTTTTCTTTTTTTTTTTTTTTTTTGGACAGGTTTGCACATTTCTTGATTCTCTTCTTTTCCATTCTATTTCTTTTCTTGTTGTGCTGGCCTGTATTCCCTTCGACTTCTCCCACGAAGCTTGATTCTCTAACATCATTTTAGAAAAAGAAGAAAGTACAGTTCACTTATTGGTAGAATGTGTGTATGCTTGGAAGATATGGACGGTGTGTTATGCATGGTGGAGTGTATCCACTGCTTCTCAAAAGGGTGTTAGTAACCATTTTAGACAGCATGAAGGTCTTATTAACCAAAGGACAGTGCGGGATGTCTGGAAAGTAGTCTGGTTTGCAGGGCTTTGGTCACTGTGGAAGTGGAGAAATCAAAAGGTGTTTGGGACACAAATGGCTAAGGAAGAGGAGGTTATGGATCTTATAAAATATAGATCTTTTTTCTGGTTGAAAGCCAAGGGTTACTCAAAGTTAGATTTGGAGACGTGGAAAATTAATCCTAGGCAAGCTATATCAGTATTGAAAGAGGCTGGTGTGTAGATACTTTTTGCGGTTGAGGACTGAACCTTGCATGGTATTGTACTTGTTTGGTTGAGGCGATGACTGTTTTTGAGATGTAATAGACAAGCTGTGTAAGTAGAGGACTATGTAAATCGGTTTGGGCGCCCCATGCACCCATTGACTTAAATTGGTCCCTTTTTTTTGTTTTGTTTTTTTTTTTTTTTTTTTTTAAAAAAAAAAAAAAAAAAAAAAAAAAAAAAAAAATCAACGCACGCATCATTATTCAATGAATTAATGCCAGCCAAAACAGAGATCTAATGTCACTTGCAACCCCTCCTTAGGTCTCTACATAGAACAAGACTTGTATACCACTACAAATAATTTAAATTTGAAATTTTAGTTTCTAAGTTAGGTTTATAATAGATTTCAACTTAATTCATTTCACTTATAATATCTCAAAAAATAAAATAAAATAAAATCCTAAAGCCTCCAATCCACCAACAATATGGGGTCAATTTTGTAATAGTTTAATTTAGTTATTTTTGTCACCATGAGATCAAGAAATAGTTAAGAAAAAAAGGTAAAAGAAATTCAAGCCTTTCCTACTCAACACCATCATAAAAACTGCCAACCAGTCAATTTCACTGCATAGGAAACTAGTTTTGATATAGAGAGAACTAAAATGAAGATTGTATACGATTAAAATTCTCACGGAATCTATGGAAATACTTAATGCGCGAGTAAACAATTTCGGATCATCAGTTTCTTCTCTACCTCTTTTTCTTCTGCGTGGTCTAGTAAATTCCTTCCACAGAGCATCATAATCACTTATGGAAACCAGAGTTACCAAACAAATAACTGCTGTGTGGAATCCATAACCACAAATCCCAGCATACCTCAGGTCTCCTGCCTTTTCCAGATTATACCAGTAAAATCCACCCGATGGCTTTCCTAACAGGAGTTCATGGTCACCCCTTGAGCCTACCAGAGTCAGAGCAGTGACCTGGTTTTCAACTCTTCTTGAGTTTATGTAATCTTCACTCAGCATACCTGTTGGGACATGAAAAAGTTTAGTCCAAGAATCTTGGACCATGTAATCCTTCATGACCCGTATATCATGTTGTTGATCAATACCATCTATTCTTGACAGACACAGGCAATCTCCAAAAACCCCCCATCCCGATGTGAAATTCTTTCTTTCTTGTTTTATTGTGAAGATAGTCAGGCAAGGGAATCTCATGGAAACCTTTAGTAGCAAGATCAAATGCAAGGATGGAAACGGAGGATAAATTTCTTCCCGGTGGAATATAATTTTTCTGTCACCCAATGAAGAGCACGCCAAACAAAGACTCCATTAGGAGTAACTCCAGCAGGTAAACCTTGATTAGAAAATAATCTCGAGGATACAATACTACTGATTTCATTTTCACTCCACACATTATATCTCAGGCTATATATCTTCGTATATGCAAAAGAATTACGTAAATAATCATCCGACAGGAAGATGACTACTATCTTATAATCATCACTGACAGAATCGTACCAGAATCCATAATGAAACTTTGATCTTCTCATTGGCCCGAAAATTGGGATTGGGGTGATGAGAAAATCTTTAGTTGACATGTTTTTTTTTGGTACATTTTAGGTGACATGTTTGACAAAACAAAATAGTGATACTCTTTTTATGTAAGAGTCCATATGTGATACAATATGTCTCTATTTATTTAATAATATGATACGTGAAAGTTATATAAAAAATTATATAAAAAAAATTATTCCATATCATTGCCCTTACCCTTTATTTGGATTGAGATTAATGAAGATAAAAGGGAAACGAGAGAAAGGGAATTATATAGTTCCATTCCCCTCCCTTCTCTTCCTTTTAGAAAAAAAAGAACAAACAAACAGAAAATTTTTTTCTGCCCCCCTCCCCTCCCCTCATGTTCATTCTCCTCAACTCAAAGATACTGTTAAACTAAACTAAATCTAATCAATCGGCTTGGAAATGCAACAAACTTGCTTCAGTTTCCACCCTTAGTGGCACTGGCTGTATTAAAGCTCCTTTGTTCTATCATTCTCCCATTGGACCGTACCAATGGATATGACTCCTAAAATATGCTTTAAACCCATTCACGAAGTGATTAATTCGGAAGACAAATTAAGGCACTTCCCGATTCTTTTCAAAAGATAAAAATTTAGAGAAAACACAATAGAGAAGGATTAAATGGGGTAGAGAGAGCACGCAGATGACAAGATTAAATGGGTTCATTGGTTAAATATAAAATACACCAGATATTTAGTAATTTTTGTCACCATGGGATTGAGAAATAGTTAAGAAAACAAATTAGGTAAAAAAAATGAGTGCCCTCTTTTACTATCCAATGTAATCTGGACCATAAACCAAAGGCCGTTGGATGGGGAAAGGGTCTTTGCTATTTGGGGGTCCACTCCCTATCCAATGGTTATGATTGTGCAATCTGATACAGACTATATAACACTTTTCCCAAAAGAAATTCTGAATACAAAAAGTCAACAGCAGCTATTGAGCTTCCAAGTCTTCCTCACTCAAACATCATAATTTTTGTTTTACCAAACTGTTTTAAATTTATAGAATACAAGGGATACTCAAATCCATGTTACAAGGGAAACAACATCACCCAACAACATAAAACTATTACAGTTTTCTCTCCCCACAACACAGACAGCTTTAGCCTTATCACACATATGCACGGTCAAGAAGTCTCCCCCTTCTGCCTAAAACAGGCACCACTTTACTGACCTTAATTGACTACACGGATTAAGCTAGTTCATCGACTAAAGCATTACACAACAGAATCTATACAAAATCACTTCATAAAGTCCAACCTACGACACGGTTCTACCTAGCATGTTTAAATTAGCTGCAGCACAAGCCTCCAACCAAAGCTTTGATTGAGTAGACCAATCATGAAGAGAGAACGTTCAAAATAGTATGTTCTAAATTTTTATGATGGTTGATGACGTCAACCATGATAAAAATTGGCTATCAGTCAATTCCACTACAAAGGAAAACTAGTATTGATTTTAAGAGAACTAACATGTAGACTGTACGTGATTAAACTTGTCATGAAATCTAAAGAAATACCTTAATGCATCATCTAACAATGTCTCCCCATGGTTGATTTTGTTTCTTGATCTTTTTCTTTTTCTTGGTCTGGTAGATTCCCTCCAGAGAGCTTTGTAATCACTTATGGAAACAAGGGTTCCTAAACAAATAACTGCTGTGTAGAAACCACGACCACAAGTCCCAGCATACCTTAATTCCTCCTTTTCCAGATTATAACAATAAAATCCACCCAATGGCTTTCCTAACAGAAGTTCATGGCCACTTAAGCCTACAGGAATCAGAGCAGTCACCCTGCTGTCCACCCTTGCTGAGGTCTGAAACAGTTTAGTCCAAAAATCCTGGAGCATGTAATCTTCAGTCACCATACTTGTTGATATCTGAAACAGTCTAGTCCAAGAATCTTGGATCATGTAATCTTTCAAGACCCATATATCATAATAGTGATCATCAATACCATCTTTGCTTGACAGACACAGTGACCCTCCAAGCACCCCCACCTGGATGTCAAATCCCTTTTTTAATGTTTTATTTTGAAGATACTCAGGCAATGGAATCTCCTGAACAGCTTCAGCTGCAACATCAAACGCAAGGATGGAAATCGAGGACGATATTTTACCAAGAGGAAATGGTCTTCTCTGTGTCATCCAATGAAGAGCACCACGAGCAAATACTCCATTTACAGAAGCATCAGCAGGTAAACCTTGATTACAAAGTTTTCTCGGGTGGCCAATACAAATCCGTTTAGTTTCACTCCACATGTTGTGTCTCAGGCTGTATATTCTTGTTTTCGCATAACAACTGGGAGAAGGGGAAGCTACTTTCAAATCATTCGAAAGAAAAATCATGACTACCTTATAATCATCATTGACAGAATCGTACCCCAACCCATAATGAAATTTAGAACTTCTCCTTGGCCCAGGATTTGGGATTGGGGTGATGTGAAAATCTTTAGTTGACATGTTTGACAAAACAAGATAGTGATTAAGAATCGATAAACAAATCAAACCATTGCATGAACCATGTACCTTGATGTTGTCTACACCCGAATTGTTCTTCAAAAGCTTATCAGGCGAGCCGATTCCCGCAACACAGAGATGGGATTGGGCGAAATCTCCGATTGTGTTCTTGACAAGAGCAACAAGAACGGAATTCGAGTTGGTGTTGGGGGATTGTTGAAGATGAGATTTGATGAAGCGAGGAGAGTGTATCAGGGAATACCATGATTTCGATATGCACTGGAATCGGAGGAGACTCTTGACCGGTAAATAACAGAGAATTTCACCGCTTAAGTCATCCAGAACTTTCGCCATGACCATGGGAGACGCCTTTCAAGTTTGATCAGCTGAGAACTTTCTCGGGCGGATTGCCTGGAGGCAATAGGAAGGGTGTTAAGAAACCCTGATTCCCAATTTCAGTGACTTTGGAAAAAGAGAAATCTTTTACCCTTTCACCGGGTCAGTTCACTCCTCTCTGTTCATATCCAGGGGATTTTTTCGCGTCAACTCCAGATGGACCAGGTTAGAGTTATCTCATGTTTTGTCTTTATTAAAAAAATAAGTAATTGATATTAATTTTATTTTGATAAATAAAAATATTGATCTTATTTGAGTGAATAATAATAAAGGAGTTGGGTAAATTGATAATTATTTTTATTTAATTAAATATTTTAAAAAAAAATAAATATAA